TTTTTTTTTAATTCTAATTTATTTGTTTTTTTGTCTTTGATTTTTTACTCAAGTTTGGTACAAAATTTTGAGATGAGTCGCAAACAAAAGTTGTTTGAAACATCATTTTGCATAACATATTATTGTTTCATATTTTTTCGTTTTTTTTTTTTTTTTTTTTTTTTTTTTTTTTTTTTTTTTTTTTTTTTTTTTTTTTACGTATTCCCACGTATGGGAGTATGTGTAGGCATGTACGTGTCACGTACAAGAATACATGTACGCATGTACACATAACCCGCCTACACGTACTGCGTGCTACCCAGCTGTGGAGGGATTCATGCTTGGTATTTCATGATTGGACAACTGTGGACCCCTCCTTACTGCGTTGCCCTCTTTCAACTTTCCCTTATTTTTTCCTACCCTTCTCAAAGTGTCTTGTCTATCTCAGTTTATATGTTATAGACTAGAGGATTTAATTGTTGCACTTTGGTATCTGCACTATTTTTATAATTAATACAAAATTGCAGGATGTGGAATACCAATGCATGATCCAACAACCTAAATCATCAGATAAGGTTCACAAAAGGCATTCAGAAGTTCGTGGGTTCAATCTCCATTGGCCTCATGTACCTTTCTGGGCATGCTTGGTGCCTGCCACCTAAGTATAGACCACTTGATCCCTGATGGACGTTAAGCTGAGTTTGTTGATGTTCGTAGGGGAGAGGACCTGAGGGGAAACACAGGGATTGGTCATCATTTGTCTTATTGGCATGGTCCCTGATGCTACCGGTTGTCCCCTAGCTGGTATTGCCCACCTGCGAGTCGAGACCAACCCCCTCATGTTCTCTCGTGAACACCTTTCTGGCTGCTGCAGGGTTCCCCATATGAATATTATTAGCAGTAATGGTAGGTAGGTAGGTAGTGTGAGGTAAAACTGAGAAAAGAATGCAGTCTTTTTTTCCTTTTTAAGGAAAAAAGAACAACATTTTGTTTTTAGATCTGCTGCTCACTAAATGGGTGAAGAGGTAGACTTCGAAGTCCATTGCAACCTGGAGAAGACTCGATCTTTCATGATTGATCTATGTTGGAATCTGCAATTTTCTATTATTGGTTAGCGGTATGGGAAACCCGGTTTCCAACACGTGATGTTACCCACCAATGGGCAAGGTGGTATATACAAGGTGACTGGCGTTCGGGACGGCCCAGACCCGAACGCCCGAACGTACGGGACCCCTTGGGAATGCGTTTAGTCGTTCGGGGCGAACGCGGACCCAAAAAAAAAAAAAAAAAAAAAAAAAACCTCTGAAAAATCTGGAAAAAAAAACATATTTTATGGACAACGATAAAATAAACAACATTTACCTGAGCATTACATCCAAAGTCCTTACCAAATTTTACATAAAAATAAAATACAAAAAATAAATACTAATAAGAAAAGTTAGAAAAACTAAAAAGAGAAATTAGAGAATAAGAAATTATTAAGTTTACAAACCCATTTTCGACGCTGCCATTTTTGGCTATTTTTCTTTTTTTTTGGCATTGCCAAATGCCCTGAGAATTTATATGTGTGTACTTAAGATAATAAAAAACTCATGAAAAGAGGTTTAAAAAATCATATAATTGTTTAGGCCGCGAAATAAAGTGAAAACAAAACGTAAAAACTAAAAACTAAAAAGTGAAAACAAAACAAATTGTGAATGGGCGAGCATGTTTTCACACGCCCATCTTAGGAAATTTTTCATTTTGGTTTAACTAAGCAAAATGACCTCAAAATTAATAGGTCTGTAACTTACATCATTGAGAATGCAAAACAAAAAATTCAGAAAAAATATATATATATTTTATTTGCCGAAATTTTTTTTTGCGGGGGCCAAACCCCTTCAGGTTCGGACCTCGAACGGGACCCCAAACGGGACCCCGAACGCCGGAACGTATGGAGCTCCGCCCGAAGAACATACGGGCTGATAACCTTGTATATGTATATATATGTATATGATATATATATATATATATATAGACGAATCAAAAGGTAATAAAGAATAGTCTAAAACAGACTCCAAAGCCTGAGTTTTATTGACTTTAACCTAGCGTCTACGGTGTGGGCTACGGGAATGGTGCAGAAAGTGTCATAGAGTGTCGTAGAGTATAGTAAAATAAAGTAGAGTATAATAGAGTATAGCGTCATACAGGAGTAGAGTGAAGTAGAGTAAAATCTCATAGAGTAGTGTTTTAGAGAGTGTCATAGAGTTAAGTAGAGTAGGGAGAGTAGAGTAGAGTAGAGTAGAGTAGAGAAGAGTAGAGTAAAGTAGAGTGTCATACAGTGGAGTAGAGTGTCGTAGAATGTCAGTGTCGTAGAGTGTCGTAGAGGAGAGTATAAACTGACATTTCGTTAAAACTGAAATTTTTTTCTAAAATCGCGAAATTGAATTAAGTAAAAAATGTACAGAATTTTCCTCCGAAATCGTGACTTCTGGCTTTTTATGTAGACCATGGTAGGCTGTAGTCGTATGGTACCACGTGCACCATATATGGTAGGTGAACTATCATGTACTATATACCATCAGGGGTACATCATACCGCATACACCATACATATGTACATCATACCGCATACACCATACATATGCACATCATACCGCATACACCACACATATGCTTATGGTATATGATACATTTTTGGCTTCCATCCTTTTTGCATTCTGCTCTCCACATAGACCATACATATCCAGACCTCACATAGATCATACATATGTAGACCTCAACATGTTGCGTGACTACGTACATGTTTGATATATATGTCGCTGCATTTGCGATCTATCGGTCAAAGCATTTCATATTATACATAACATTGTACATTTGCAAACTGCCATAAGTGACTTGCAACCGAACAATTCAATGACTGTCACCTTTCAACCCCTTCAATCTCCTCTACAATTTGTCGCATGTTACACATCCTCTCTAGTTGTTACCGAGTCTAGTGCGATCCCACGTCTAATGCCTTGGATATCGTGCATATCGAATTTGAATGGTGGCAACCGACCTATTGCCAAAAGAGATGCGTATGCTAGCACAAATACTCCACATTGATGAATGTCTTTCTGTTTCGAGATACCAACCACCTCTAATACCTTCTTGAAATGTCTAATGTTGACTTGCTTTCCTTATTGTGTTGATCGATCGTACACGTACCTCGCGAAGTTATTGACTACCTTTTTTGCAACGTCAGAGTTTGGTTCCATCGAATCGTAGTACTCTATAACTTTCCGTCGAAGGTCTACTGCAAAAAGTGTCCAATGCTTTTCATGAATAGTATGGTATGGGGCTAAAATCAAGTCAGTATCTGCAATCAATACGTCTCTGAACTATTTAGCTACTTTGTCATAGTGATATCTTAAGTTGTCATCCATGAGCTTGATAAAAAAAAAAAGAGTTACATACATTTGTTCACGGAATCAAACCCTTTGCGTAGTTCGCGGACATGTTATATCGTGTATCGCACTCTCGATTGGAAGTCTTACACATGTTGTCAACCTTTATCATATTGTTATAGAAATTTTTAATGTCATCGTTTAACCATCGTGTGCCACTCATGAGGATACTCATATCGTGGACCGTGAATCTTAACTTCTCTCGCATCGCTGAATTCTTGGTGCTTGACAGTGTTTTGTAATTGTTGAACTTATTTTCTCATTGCCGCAATGCATCTTTTTCCGACTCGGTGATAGCATCCGTTGCTAATTGAATAGTCCACCCGTATTTACATCGGCGTTCGCCTTGGACGTGTAGCAATGTCCCTGGTTCACACCACAATGGGATTGCTTGTTGTTAACATGTGAAGTCATTCCATTATCAATTATTTGTTCGTGTGTGTGTGTGTGTGTGTGTGTGTGTGTGTGTGTGTGTATGTGTCTGTATGTGTGTGTGTGTGTGTGTGTGTGTGTGTGTCGGGTGGAGAGGAGAGAGAGAGAGAGAGAGAGAGAGAGTGGCAGACTGCAGCAACAGCCTGTAGGGAAGGCACAGTAACCACACCAAGAGAAGCACACTGCCAACTTAGACTCAAAAACCCGGACCAGAACAAACCAGCCACTTGCTACGAGACAAAACTCTGCACATCATAATGAGCAAATGCACGTTCAACCTTTGGTCCAGGTCACAAGTCATATCAAGCAAGACTTCGTCTTCCTGTGTCACCATAGCCTGCGTCTTCCCAAAAACTCAACAATGCAGATCCTACTACCGGTTTCATCCGTCTGCGCGGACTCATCAAGTAGGTACGTCACCAAGGACGTTGAAGTCGAAAGAGAGGTCATCAGCCTTGCCTCCCGTAGCTTTATCGTGTCTAGGTCATGCCTACTCGTGTTTGCAAACCAGAGGACATTAAAATAAAATAAATAAAAAAATATATCCATAATATCAATCTCCGTACGGGAGCACCAAAACTGCTCGCTGGGAGGAAGATTCAAAAACCCCCGTACGAACTCCGCCGAGGGACCGCGCAGAACTGACAAGTACGGGTATCACCGAGGGGCCGTATGTGTTCGCCGAGGGACCGCGCGAACCGGCAAGTAAAGGAAGGGAGATAAGGGCGCTATCCTGCCTTATAAGGTTAAAGTCGGTTACCCCCTGGCGCCACGTGTCGGTGTCAGCGGGTATCAGACCATCCGAAACTACCTTTCTGCCAAAATCGGGACGTGCAGAACAACGATACGCAAGACAAAATTAAAAAAATTGGAAATTAAAAATTACTTGCTACGGATGCACGTAGTCCTAAGCACAGTATGTGTACGTTGTCCTGGGACATGAGCCGTACTTTCCCAGATCAGCCCTCAGTGCCTCTTTTTCCACATGCTGTGGCATCCGGTGTACAACGTCTTCAGTAAGGGTTCTCCCGTAACCTTGGCCAACTTGGCCAAGGATCCCAGAGAGACCTCCGGGGGGTACCCCCGGAGGTGGCTTTCAGCCAAAGTGTATATTACCGGACCAACCACCAAAGCCGCTGACGTGGACGAGTGCCAAACCCTCTTTAGTGTTGCTAAGAGTGCGACCTTCTTGGTTCTTTTTTCGGAGTAGCTTGCGAAGTCCTGCATAGTCTGATACCTCAACTTACCATTGGCTCACAGCGAGTCCGTGTTCTTTGTATCTTGTACGAAATGTATCTGCACTGGCTCCGATATCAGATGCATCTTGCCCCCAATGAAAGGCCAAGAGTTCTCATTCTCGTCCTTTCGGACAAGTTTGAGTCTCGAGTCGTATGCTGCTTCAAACTTCAACAGGATTTCCTGGGATTTGTCCAAGGAGCTTCCCGTGTCCGTACATCCGACAACGAGTGAAACGTCGTCTATCATTCTCCATCCTTTTACTAATCTCCGATCCGTTCCCAATGATCGCAGGAACTTACTTTCCGCCATTGCACATGTCACAGTCGCCAGTACGGGGCTCAGAGTCTTGCCCATCGGTATCCGGACTACCTGTCGCTTGATAACTTTTCCACATACCATATACGCATGCGAAAGGTCGTAATCGACCATCTTCGAGATGTGAGCCAGTTTGACGTTCGTGTACCCTGGTTCCGACCTCTTGGTCTTGGCCATGACGCAGTATTTCCCTTTCGTGGCCACTCTGATCTGCGCATAACCTTGGTTATCAAACACTCGCAGGAGTTCGTACACAACGTTTGTTACTGCAGTGTGCGGGATCGAGGAAAACATTTCCTTGATGTCGTAACACCTTCCCATCGTCATGGTGCAACCCTGTCTTCCCAACAGTTCCCCCGCTGTCGTCGCTTCCTCCTTGAATTTCTGTGTAGAGTTGAGGTGGAAGTTCAGGCTGCTGTCGTATCTAGTGATTAAGCAGTACAACGCCCGTGCACACCTTCGTTGCCCGACCATCGCTGGGTCACTGCATGCTGGGGCAATTGGTCTCCATCGCAGTAGATCCTTGTCCTTAGGAATAATGTACGCCTTCCCCAACTTTCCCTCTATCTTCCAGGTTCCCACTGCTGCGAGTCTTGTCTTCAGATAATCCTTCTTACACATAGCCAGCACATCCGGTTCCGAGCTGACCACTGTCTCGTAGTCGGAGTTCCAGGTGAACATGCAGCCGTACGCATGCCGGTACAACACTGGGCAGACGACAGCCGTATCGCCGCTGTTCCGGTCGACCGGTGTGAGTACCAGCCCAGCGAACTGAGTAGCCCATTCCCTAACCTGTGGGTCTGTCCAGGTCTGCGGGTTAGTCTTTGTAGTAGTGGTGAAATACCTCCCTACATCTATCTCATCATCCGGGTGGTGTTTGAGGTGTGTCGTCGCCATCATTACTCCGTGCGCTACTTCTTTAACCTGTTTAGGTCGTGCGTTCATGGTCACGTTCTTAGCATTTTTTACGAACGCAGGTACGTTCGCCATATCGGCGAATCTAGTCAGTACATGCCCGTCATGCTTATTCAGCCCGAAATTCGCACATGGACAATGTGCCCGAAGCGTGTGCGTGTACCGTCGTTGTGTGTGTATGATCTCGCCAACTTTCCGATTTCCAGTGTTAATTATTCTAACCTTCCTCTTGATGAACGTGGCCACTGACTCATTTTCCATTTTCGCCTCAATCAACTTTTCAGTCACTCTCCTCACTTCCGTCTTCAGCACAGTAGCACAGTAGGGAAACTTCACAGTCACTCTCCTCCTAACGCTGATGCCTGTCTTTCGTCGTATCAAGCGATCTATTTTCGATTTGAGTCTATTTCTAGTCTCCTTCCTAGCGAACAGGCTAGCAGCCCTGTAGAGCCCCACGAGCTTGCTAATCGAGTAGCGTGTGAGTGATCCGGCCATTCTTGGTTGTTTTAGTAGTCATTGCAGAGTGGTCTTGTGTTTCTCCGTGGTCGTGGCCGTTCTCGTAATCTTCCGGAAGACAGATCCCGCCCTGTTGGCATATCTCTTTCGCGTGCTTCAAATACAGGCTTCTCTCGTTCACATGGATCATCGTTTCTCCGAATTTGACCACCACCTCCCTCCACCCATCCGCCCACGATTGTCCAGCGCTGAACACGACCTCCTGATCTCGCTCCTGTTTCTCGTACTTTTCGCGTAACTAGTTCAAGAGAGATGTCCTTATCCCGTCACTCGTCTTAAAACTTACCACCGTCCTTCCTCTCGTCTCTACTCCCCGTTTCTTTCTCTCCCGTCTCCCTCTCCGCTTCCTCGTTCTTTTGCCCATTCTCCCGCCTAGACCTAGCGTGTTCAGACTAGGGGACAGCTCCCGAATCAAGTGCTTTTCAAACGCCAAATCATCTTCTTCAGTCGTGTGTCTGATCGGTACGACCACGAACTTATCCAACCCGAAAGTCCTCATCCAACGGTATAACTGTCGTGCTTTCCCTAGTTGCTTGCCGACCGCGACTGAGAGATGTTGTCTCCATCTATGTAGGATTGGCCTCGCCGTATACTCGACGTACAGCCGCTTGGACCACGGGCTTAGAATAACATAAGTCCCGCCGGTCTTCAGTTCTAAGACTTCCTTCGTAAGTTCCGTCTTATCGAGGTATTTTGTCAGCCACTTCATCTGTCGTGCGCATGCCAGCAATAGCGTGGTGGAGGTTATCCTTCTCTCAACCCGAGCCGCCTCTTCGCCCTTCGTACCCCACCCTCGGAGGGTCACTCGTAGTTCCAAGCATGAGCGTAAGGTTTCCAAAAGCTCAGCGATGGAGGGCTGCCTGAGTCAATTTGACCTCGGCTCCGATACCGGTTCCGACTTCTGACCGGACTCGCTGGCAGGTGCAGAGCGCAGTATCGTCTTCGGAGCCTCTGTCAGCTCCGCCTTACCCCTCGTCGTAATTGTTGACTTGGCTACACGTGGTGTTGTCTTGGTATCCATCTCGGTTTCCTGTCCGATCCTTAGAGAGGTGGTCTTCTTCGTAAGTGGAGTAAAAAACCCCTCGTACGCCAAGTCAGTTTGCTTTTTCACCAGTTCCATGATCATCTCGTTCTTCTTCGCCGACTTAATCCCATGCTTCGTACACAGCTCCCGCAACTGCGATACTTTTTGAGCTGAATACTGTTTCATGACCGCCAGAGTGTAGTCATGAAGCCTTCTTTTGATCCTCCTCCCGCGATTCCCTTGTACCCTCTTGTGAGTGGTGTCCTCGGCTCAATGGAACTCTTCTTGGTAGGTGATGTTGGCGTGTTCGACTTCTTCGAGCATTCCTCCTTCTCTGTAGTGCCAGTAGGAACTTTCTTGGTGCCTCTCCTGCTGCCGTGCTTCTCTCTTGATCGTGTCTTCTTCTCCTTCCTCAGTAATCTTGCGACTCGCAATAACTCCTTCTCTGAGTCGGAGGAGTTATCGGATGCTGAGCTGCTACTTTTCTCCATATCCGATGAGGAAGAAGAGTTAGATTCTATGATCTTTAGGGTGGTCCTCGTCTTCTTAGTTTGCTTCCTTGACTTGTTTCGTTTCTCATTGTCCTTGAGTATTGCCTTGCTATAGGGAGATATCCTCGGGCTGGTCTTCTTAGTAGCCTTCTGAGTCTGCAATCTTGCTTCCTGTTCTCTCGCCCTGGCTGCCGCTTCTTCTTGCTGTTTCTTCCATGTTTCGGCAATCTCCGCTTGCAGTTGCAATCTGAATTCTTTCGTTCTTCTTGCCATGTCCATCTCTCTTCTCATCTCTTCCTCCTCTCGGAGTCTTTTCTGTTCCTCCTCCTCTCTCCGTTTCCTTTCCTCCGCTCTTTCCTTCATCAAGTCTCTCACGAAGACATGAATTTCATCGTCCTGTTGTGTCGGTTTTCCTCGTTTCGCCCAACATTCCCGAGCTATGTGTCCGGTCTTCCCACATTCGTTGCATCGAGGTCCGTTCTCTCTTCCTCCCCAACTCCCATTGCCTCCGTTGCTCCCCATGTTGCCGTTGTTACTTCCAAAACCGCCGTTGTTATTCATCCTGATTTTCTCCCAACGTCTCACCGTTCCTCTACTGCAGTGTTCCTTCTTTGGTAGGTGTGCTATTTGCTATCTCCGACGTACTATCTGCTATCTCCCGGCTTCCTCCCAAATCAGAGAGAAAATACCAACTTGGCCTGCCTACAACCTCCAGATGTCAGCGATCTCATCGACCTCCTGTCCCCGCAGCCTACGTCTCTACCTCAGGATCCGAAGTGCTCTTCTGTCCTATAGACAACCGTCCTAGTTTTGGGTTCGGAGATTAGATTCGTTGTTGCGAAGATCGACCGAATTGTGTGTTGCAAGTAGTCCTCCAATAATCTAACTAGCCTGGCTCAACCTCCGTATGACTATTCCGTCTCCTCACTTGTCCACAACACTCGCATACGTTAGGCATAGTGGATCACGTTGCTAAAGCAAGAACCAACAGCCCGAATCCTATCAAAATGAGTCCTAATCCGAACAAAACCTCCCGGGTCGTGCCTCCCATTTTCTATAATGCTATTGTTACTTCTCCCGACTACCGATCTGTCGTAACACTAAAAAAAACTATCACAGCCACCGTGAAGCTCGAAATACTCCGGTTACTGTGTTCCCAAGAGTGGCAGACTGCGGCAACAGCCTGTAGGGAAGGGCACAATAACCACACCAAGAGAAACACACCGCCAACTTGGACTAAAAAAAACGGACCAGAACAAACCAGCCACTTGCTACGGGACAAAACTCTGCACATCATAATGAGCAAATGCACGTTCAACCTTCGGTCCAGGTCACAAGTCATATCAGGCAAGCCTTCGTCTTCCTGTGTCACCATAGCCAGCGTCTTCCCAAAAACTCGACAATGCAGATCCTACTACCGGTTTCATCCGTCTGCGCGGACTCATCAGGTAGGTTCGTCATCAAGGACGTTGAAGTCGAAAGAGAGGCAATCGGCCTTGCCTCCCGTAGCTTTATCGTGTCTTGGTCCTGCCTACTCATGTTCGCAAACCAGAGAAAATTAAACTAAAATAAATAAAAAAATACATCCAGAATATCAATCTCCGTACGGGAGCGCCAAAACTGCTCGCTGGGAGGAAGATTCAAAAACCCCCGTACGAACTCCGTCGAGGGACCGCGCAGAACTGACAAGTACGCGTATCACTGAGGGGCCGTACGTGTTCGCCGAGGGACCGCGCAAACCGACAAGTAAAGGAAGGGAGATAAGGGCGTTATCCTGCCTTATAAGGTTAGAGTCAGTTACCCCCTGGCGTCGCATGTCGGTGTCAGCGGGTATCACACCATCCGAAACTACCTTTCTGCCAAAATTGGGACGTGCGGAACAACGATACGCAAGACAAAATTAAAAAAATTGGAAATTAAAAATTACTTGCTACGGATGCACGTAGTCCTAAGCATAGTATGTGTACAGTCCTGGGACATAAGCCGTACTTTCCCAGACCAATTCTCAGTGCCTCTTTTTCCACATGTTGTGGCATCCTGTGTACAACGTCTTCAGTAAGGGTTCTCCCGTAACCTTGGCCAACTTGGTCAAGGATCCCACAGAGAGAGAGAGAGAGAGAGAGAGAGGGAGAGAAAGAGAGAGAGAGAGAGAGAGAGAGAGAGAGAGAGAGAGAGAGAGAGAGAGAGAGAGAGA